GGGGGGCAGTTGTGCAGCCGGGCGCTCCCCTTCCCCCGGCCCCCTCCAGCCCCCAAACCTGTCCCTGTCCCCTCACCTCGGCCCCGCTCCGCCATGGCCGCCCCGCTCCGTCCCGCCCCGCCGGGCGGAGCCGCCACGAAATGTCCGCCGCTCCTTCCTCCTCCTCCTCCTCCTTCCCCCCGGCACCGGGACCCTCGGGCCGCCTCCCCCGGGCCGGGGTGGAAGGGGAGGAAGGGTCGGCGCTGCCCCCCGAGGGATCCCGGGCCGCAGGTACGGCCAGAGCCCTGCCCGGGCACGGGGGAGAAACGGGGGCGTGGCGGAGAAAGGAAGGGCTTGGGGGCAGAGTTAGGGGCTTGGGACAGAAATAGGGGTTTGTGGGCATTAAAAAAGGGGGGTTGGAATGTGCCCAGATGTCGGGGGAAGGAGGTGGCGAGGGGAGGAGCCGGCCAGGAGGTATGGAAAAGGGGGATGTGCGCAGTGGTCCACTGGCTCACGGCATCGCCCCAAAAGCGGAGCGGGTCCCCTCCGCCCCAGCCCCTTGGCATGGGGATGCTGTGTCCCTGCCCCGGGCCAGCCCAGCCACCTGTCCCCGCGGCTTTCCGCCTTCCACAATGCGGGATTTGCCCTTGGTCCCCCCAAAACGCCCCTCTTTGGGTGCGCGGGCAGGCGGGGATACCCCGTGTGATCCCCAAAGCCCGGGGGGCTCCCGCTGCGGGGTCCTGCTCGGTTGAGTTCGGTGTGACCAGCGCGGCCTCATGGCAGAACACGGCTCGTGGCAACACGGAGGCTGAACGTGTATCCGAGCCCACCTGTGCACCCAAATCTGCCGGATTTTCCCCCCCATCGGGAGTCACGTCCCGGCACCGTGGGCTCGCGTGGCTCCCTGAGCCCTTAAACCGGTGCCGTGACTGAAATAATCCCGTCTCCCGTGTCCCTGCGCATCTGCTCCCTGGCACTGGCGGCAGGGACATCATCTCCCGGGGGACGGCGGCTCCGGACGCGCGTTTGGGCTGTGAGTGCGGGGATCGGCCATAATCCGACCCTCCACGGAACCCTCCTCATCTGCTTCCCACCTCCTGGAAAGGTACCTCCGCCTGGAGCCGGAGGATGCTCTCCCGCCCGGCTGCCTCGGCGCTCCATCCCTTGTCACTCCGCGGGAATGTTGCTGGGTTTATCTGTTATTTTCCCCCCTGTGCGGCAGCAGGAATCAGGGCAACCGGGGAGGAGGAGGAGGAGGAGGAGGAGGAGGCGGCAGGGAGCTATTTCAGGGAGCTGCTGTTATCTGCTCCGCGTTAATCCCCGGCTGGTGGGGGGGAAGGCTTTCCCTGAGCGCTTTCCTGGGAGGGCACGTATTAAACACTGAAAAGCAAAGCGAGGAAGAAGAGGATTAGCGGGAGAGAGAGGAAGCTGGTGCTGGCTTTGCTCGGGTTATCCATCTGCTCTGCTTTTATGGATGCAGCAGCGTGAGCAATATCACTTGGTTGTTTTTTGGTTTGTTTTTTTTTTTGTGTTGTGTTTTTTCCCTCCTTCCTCTCCCCACCCCTTTCTCTCTTCCCTCTCAGATATCTGTCTGCCGAGGTGCTTTTGCATCACCCTGGAAGTCCCCTCGCTCCCAGTTCCGCCGTAGCTGAGCTGTTGGGATAATGGAGCTCAGGGCTGTGGTCACCACGCTGGAAAGCGGGGAGCAGGACACGGTTCTCAAGGTGCTCCAGGTCTACAACCAGGAGGTGAGTGAGCATCAACCCCTCCCTGGTGTCAGGGGCTCTTAAAAACATTATTATCGAGATGCCAAGTAAAACCTGGCGGGGAAATAAGAGTCAGTGTAAGGACCGAGTAGGAGGAGCCTTTATGTTGAGGCAGGTTTGGAGGTGATAAAACAGGCCGGGGAGGAGCTGCAGGTGAAAGGACATTAGGATTTGCAAGTCAAAGGTGACTAGAGGTGACTGCATGAGTCTGAATATCAAAACCCGAGGACAATTTGGAAGCAGAGCTGGGAGTGTTTCTAGCCATAAAGTGGGAAAAGATTACCTGTGGGGGTAAATTTCTGCCTGCAAAAGAGGAGACTGAGGGTAGACCTCGGCTGTTTTCAGCTTCCTTCCGAGGGGCACCACCAATCTCTGCTTGCTGTGACCAGTGACAGGACCCAAGGGAATGGCTGGAGCTGTGTCAGGGGAGGTTTAGGACAGATATTAGGAAAAGGTTCTTCCCCCAGAGGGTGGTTGGGCACTGAACAGGCTCCCCAGGGCAGTGGGCACAGCACCAAGGGCTACCAGAGCTCAAGGAGCGTTTGGACAACGCTCTCAGGTACAGGGTGGGATTGTTGGGGCTGAGCAGGGCCAGGAGTGGGACTGAGTGATCCTTGTGTGTCCCTTCCAACTGAGGAGACTCTGTGATTCCGTGAAATCCCGCTTGAAACAGACTCTGGTTGTCAGGGAAATTTCCCTGGGAGGGTTCCCCCGGGAGGGGCTGGCCCTGCGGATCGCTGTGACTCACTCTGCACCAGGCTGGAGTAGGTGGGAAGCCAGCAGGGAAAACCTGAGGAATATTTTGCAGAAGCGTGTGTGAGAGAGGGAGGGAGTGTGGAACTGTTCGTAGCAGTCGGATTTGGAATGGGGAGATCTCGGCCGAGGAGGAGCAGACCCCTGTTGAGGGCAGCGCTGAGGATCAGCAGCACCCACGGCGGGGGCCACACCAGAGTCACCGAGGTGCAAACAGCGTCCGTGTGACCAGCTCAAGGCCCCAAAACCACAGCATTTCCCGTGGATCCCCCCCAGCTGGGTCCTTCCCGGCGTATCAGGCATGTGGAACTCGAGCCAGAGGGTTTGGTGGCCCGTCTGAAGGAAATGGAGCAGTCAAAGAGGATTATGAAACTGCACATAAAGCCGACACGGCCTGGCATCGCTTCTGCTGCAAGACTGATGGTTCTGTAACCTTTCCTGGGGATTTATTTTAGTTCACTGTTGCACACGCGGTTTTTGGTTGCTGGGAATGAACTGCAGCTAAAGCAAAACCCCCAGGTATGGCCAAATTACCCCCAAATGGGATTAGAGCCTGCAGAGGGGAAGAACGAGCCTGGCTGCCTGCGGAACAAAGCAGTGCTGGAACTGGTAACGTGATCCAACAGCCTGTGGATGGATCAGCTCACACAGCCTGAAGGGAATACACCTGTCCTGCCCTCACCCCTGGGACTGCTGCTGCTCCATCTCCTGTGTCCATCGCTGCTTCCAGGCTGGACAGACCAACGCCATCCCTGGGCTCTTGGTGGCTGCACACACGTCATCGGTGTTTTATGGATTTTAAACAGCTTTGTTCTCCGTGCTTGGGCCAAAGGTTTTCTTGGTGTAAACAAGGATAGCCTCATTCACTGGGAAGTGCTGCTTCTCCCCGGGAACCTGTGGTCCCCTGTGCTCTCAGGTTCCATGGGAGCAGGTGAGACTTCCAGGTGAGCCAGGAAGGAGACTGTCAGCGAAGAACAACCAAAAGGGAGAGAGAAACAGAAATGTTTCCCGTGAATGGAGAGCAGGAGTGTTTGTTAGGAAGGGGACCTGTGGAGATCAGGTCCAAAGGACTTGACCTGGGTAACCACGAAGATCTATTCCCACGTACCAAGGAGACAACACTTCTTTTTGGTCGGGAAAAGAAACAAATGTCAAGGGGAGATATGTGCAGCATCAGCTTGGTGGTGTCACTGAGCTGAGGAATTACCGGCTCATAGGGGATATTGGGATTGGGATGAGTACCCACTGTGCTGCTGCAGGATTTAATCTAAATCCATCCATCGGTTGACCCGTGGCATTCTGCCAGTGCCATGGATCCAGGGGTGATGCCCATCATGGCAGGGACTGTCAGGAGAAAGTGTGTTTGCTGTTGCAGCGTGTTTTGGGACCTGGTGCTTTCCAGTGGAATGCCCTGGTTCCGTGGAGTTTTAACCTGTTCCTTATTCTGATTTGTTTTGCTTTTTTCACAGAAGTCTCAGTGCTTCACCTTCGAGGATGAGGAGCGGGAGGAGAGGAAGGTAGGCACATGCTCCTCGCTTTTCCTCTTTGGTCGGTGTGTAAACCTGCTGCTCCATGCTTGTGTCCAGCTGGGCTTGGCAGGCAGCTCCCACAGGGAAAGAAATGAGAGTTTGCCATTAACTTGGGCAGGGAATGGTGCACTCGGAGCACCTGGCTCTGGTTTTTCCGGCAAGAGTTGGTGTTTTGGATAAAAGTCAGCATCCATCTGGCATTAGCAGCGGTCCTGTGATCCATACAGTCCCAGCCATGGGTGTAATGGGTGTGATCCCCAGGCTCCCAGGAAGGGCGAGGGGTTCCACTGGGAGCCAGCAGTGGGATTTGCCTGGAGCTGTGTATTAGCAGATCCTTCAAGCTGGTGTGATCTGGCACTCGGAGGGAAGGAATTGCTTGTTCCTGCTCCTGCAGCTCTTCATGCCGGGCCGGCCTCGTCCTGGCTGCTCTGCTGCAAGAACAGCTCTGGGTTTCCAGGATTATTTTCCAGCTGGCTCAGTTTTGTGGTCAGTTCGCTGGTGGATGGTGCCAGTGCCCGTGTTAGCACAGCAAGTGCAGACCAGGCGACCTGGGTGGAGAACAGGCCCTCCTTTGGCTGAGCCAGTGCCAGCTGCTGCCACACGGAGCGTGCCCAGGCACAGCCTGGGATTGGATCCGACAAGATCCGAGCTCTTTGCTGCTGGACACGGATCCAGGCACAGTGTCCTGCTTTTGGGGTGCATGCCATGAAACATGAGTCGAGCATCACCACCAGTTCCTGGCGCTCGGGTGTCCCGATGGTTCAGCCCTGGGGTCTCTTTCCCCTGAGCCAGCCCAAGGCTTTGCTCGCTGTGTCTGGATCTGAAACTCTGTCTCTGCCTCCTGCGTGGAAGGAGCAGAGGAACAGCTGTGTTTCCTCACTTCCCCAGGGTGTGACCGTGGGGCACTCCAGGAGCCTCACGTTGAGGACTGAAGTTCCTTTTTTTCTTCCTTCCTTCCTTCAGTAGTTTCATTTCACCAGGGGAGGTTCAGGTTGGACATCAGGAGGAATTTCCTCACGGGAAGGGTTGTCAGGCACTGGAAGGGGCTGCCCAAGGAGGTGCTGGAGTCCCCATCCCTGGAGGAACAACTAGATGTGGCACTCAGTGCTCTGGGCTGGGTGACAAGGTGGGGATGGGTCACAGGTTGGACTCGGTGGCCTTGGAGATCTTTTCCAACCTAAATGATTACGATTAATGGCTGCAACCTTAACAATTCTGTGACTATTCTGAAGTGTAACTGAGGGGGCTGCGTTTAGCCAGCTGCAAACCTCATTTTCGGGTTCCTTTGCTCCTGTAACGTCACGGAGAGATCCGTGGTTTCAGACGTGTTGTGTTAGAGGTCTGGTGAGCTCTCACCTCACCCAGCTGTGTGTGTAGGTGTCACTGGGGTGATGTGAAGTGTTGCCACACGTGGCTGAGCCCGAGCTGCCCGTGGCTGTGAGGCCTTTCCTGTGCTCCTCCGTGACTCACCGTTCCCCACGGGGATGAGCTTTGCAGCTCCCGTGAATTGTGTTAGTGGGGCTCTGCCAAGTCTGTACCCACGGAGGATCTGGGCCAGTAGGTCTCCAGGCAGCACTGGGGTTAAGGAGATGCTGCTTTATTTGAATCTCCTGAGGTCTCTTCACCTCCGTTTCCCAGGGCATCACGTGCTCTACTCACCTCCCTTGGGTCCTGTGGCCCTCCCTTGGTGGCTCTCTGATGCCTCTCTCCGCCTCTCCATCTGTTTGTGGATGCTCTGGAGCAGGTGCCTCCCTGATCTCACACAGGAGCAGAGAGCTGCTGCCAAGTGCATGGTGACTCCTGAGGGAGGCCCTGAGGTGAAGGGCTGAGGGAGGTTTTTGCCCTCAATGCAGTGGTCAGGCAAACCCTCTCAGCCTGAACCATTCCCACCAGGGCAAAGCTACAACAGTGACCTGTTCATGCTCTCCCTTTACACCCAGTACCCTCTCCCAGCCATGTGTTGCTGGTTGTTCTTGCCCAAACTGGTGCAGGACCCAATGCCAGGCACTTCCTGAGTGCTGCTGAGTGCACACCTGAGCAGACCCACCTCCAGGTGATGCTCCCGTTGTCCAGGGCAGAGCGTGACAGGGTTGGAGAGAGCACTGGGAAGTGTCAGTATCCCAGGCATTGGTTTTTTCCTGCTGCACAGAAAATGGCCCAGCTGCTGATCAAGTTCCTGGAGAGGGAGCTGCAGCCGTCCTGCCAGGTCACCTGCCTGGAGAGCATCCGCATCCTGTCCCGGGACAAGCACTGCCTCGGCCCTTTCACCACCGAGGAAGGCCTCAAGACCCTCTCCAGGCACGCCGGCATCGACTACTCAGAGGAGCTCATCCGGGAGGTCCCGGACTTGGACGTGATCCTGGAATCCCTGAAATGCCTGTGCAACATCGTGTTCAGCAGCCCGCGGGCGCAGGAGCTGACGGCCGAGGCCCGGCTGGTGGTGGGGCTGGCGCGGCGCATCAAGCTCTACAACGAGCGGAGCCTCCCTCACGACGTCAAGTTCTTCGACCTGCGCCTGCTGTTCCTGCTGACGGCCCTGAGGGTGGACGTCCGGCAGCAGCTCGCCCAGGAGCTGCGGGGCGTCAGCCTGATGGCAGACACCCTGGAGCTGACGCTCGGCGTGAAGTGGTTGGACCCCTACGAAGTGGCCGCCGAGGAGGGACTCCTCCCGCCTTTGCCTCGGCAGGAGACGGAGCGAGCCATGGAGATCCTCAAAGTGCTCTTCAACATCACCTTTGATTCCAGCAAGAGGGAAGTGGACGAGGTAAGCTCCTCGGGTCTGTGGCGCTCGCCCGTCCCCGGGCTCTGGCTTTGCTGGTTTTCTCCTCCCTTGGGTTTCCTCCTGTCCCAGACTGGTCCTCCTGCAGCCCCAGGTACATGTCAGTGTGGTGAGGGACTCGGGTGTGCCCCGGGCACTGCCTCTGTCCAGTGCAGTATTAACCCTTACAGCGTTTAGAGCATTCCCATTTAAAAGTTGGGGATTTTCCCTTAATGATATGATTTGCTGAGCGAGAGGGAGAGCAGAGCCCCCAGATAATTCACGTCTGAGCGTAGCCAGGTACCTCTTCACCTTCAGGCCAAGGTCAGAAGGAGGTGTGATGGAGAGCACCATCCCTCTGGCTAATCCATGGAGCATTTTAGAGCCTACTCCAGCCCTTACCTCAGTGTCACAGAGTGAGTGGAAGTGTGTCGGGCAGCTGGAAGACCACGTGTTGGCCCCAAAAGGAGAACTGGGAGGCTGCTTCCCCTGGAACACCCCGCTGTGCATGATCAGGCTGTGGCTGCAGGGGCAGCAGGCTCTGGGGTGTGTGGGATCCCCTTTGCTGATCAAGGTTTCCGTTTTCCATTTTGGGGCCAGGAAGATGCTGCTCTGTACCGGCACTTGGGTGCCCTCCTGCGCCACTGCCTCATGATCTCGGCCGACGGCGAGGACCGGACCGAGGAGTTCCACAGGTGAGTGCTGGGAACAACCTGGGCCTCGAGCTGCCCCTGGAGCAGGGCTCCCCCAGGCACATGATCCTGTTCCAGAGTCCTTTGTCAGGCTGTCCCTACAGCGACAGTGGGCAACTGGCCAGAGCAGACTTGTGCTGCTTTTGGTAAAGAGTCCGTGATTAGCCTTAAGCCATGCTGAGAAATTGGCTGTGTCATGTTGCCGGGCATTATTGGTGCAGGGGTGTCAACTTGGAGCAAGGTGACACAGTTCTGTCCCCAAGAACACGCAGTCAGGGGAAAACCAAGCAGTGCTGGTGAGGAGGAGTGACACAGCAGGACAACACAGAGACGCACCTTTGACCACCCAGAGTGGCTCTGTCAAATCCCCTGGGTTCTCAGTTGTCACTGAAGTCTCTTTAGAGTCCCCAGCACACAGTTCAGCTGCCCAAAAAGCAGTTTCAGTTATTCCCTTTCGGTGGTGTGTGGAGCCTGAGGTGCTCCGAGGCAACTTGGATCGCGGGGTCCTCGCACTCCTGGAAGTTAATGACAGACCTTCGTTTCCACAGAGCTGAAGGACTCGTGTGAGCAAAGCTCCATCGCTATGTGTTCTCTTCTCTTCCCTTTCACACATGTAGCCACACAGTCAACCTGCTGGGCAACCTGCCCCTCAAGTGTCTGGATGTGCTCCTGACCCCCAAAGTGCGGCCGGGCTCGCTGGAGTACATGGGTGTCAACATGGATGCAGTCAGCATCCTCCTGGATTTCCTGGAGCGCCGCCTGGACAGGGTGAGGGCTGGGGGGGGGGGGCCCTCACTGCTCGTTCCCACAGGTTCAGGGCACCTTTCCCTCAGCCTGGAAGAGCCCAGTGCCAGCACGCTTGGTTTGGGGTTGTAGAAAGGGCAGCTCTTGGCAGAGCTGTGGTCGACGGGACTAAACCAACACCAGTGGACAGGAAGGTGACTGTCATTGCTTTGAGGGCTGCAGGCCCTCAAAGATCAGTGAGATCAGTGGAACAGTGGATGATTAACTGGGTGATTGACATGTTAGCCCTGTTTCACTCAGCGGTGAAAGCCTCTGGAGGCCTGAGTTTGCATTATTTTCAAGCTGCCCGTGGTTTTCAGCCTCGGGAGTTATCCCAAAGGGCCTCAAAATTTTACCACTGCACTTTTCTGCCCTTATGCCCTGCCCAAGGATTTCTGGTGCTGCCTGTGCCACGGCAAGCTGTGTGGTGTGGAGTGGCACTGCCTGTGCAGTGGCAATGCCTGTGGCAGGGACTGGAAAGCTTTGTGTCCATCCATCTCCCCGACAGACTGTCCTCGTGTTCTCCAGCGTGAGCCGGACAGGCTGAGCTCGGCATGACTGACGTGCCGCTCCTTTTGGGGATGTTTCTGCAGGGCCACAAGCTGAAGGAGAGCCTGACCCCTGTGCTGAACCTGCTGACGGAGAGTGCCCGTGTCCACCGCCAGACCAGGAAGTTCCTGAAGGCCAGGGTACGCTGTGCTCAGCCCGGAGGTCAGGGACGCTGCCCTGAGGGGGGAGGAGACGAGCAAACCCCTGGTTGTGCCCACCCTCCACACACCTCTGGGTTTTCCCGTGGGTGGTTGAGGCCTCTGGCACCCACAGTGTTTCTCCCACGTCCCCAGGTGCTGCCGCCGCTGCGGGACGTGCGGAACCGGCCGGAGGTGGGGAATTCCCTGCGGAACAAGCTGGTGAGGCTCATGACCCACATCGACACCGACGTCAAGCACTGCGCCGCCGAGTTCCTCTTTGTGCTCTGCAAGGAGAGTGGTCAGTCCCGGGGCGTTGGAGGGCTTTGACGGGGGCCCCTCAACCTGGGCTCCGGGAGAGCCAGAGCACGTGGGATGGGGACCCTCCGCGGAGCTTCCGCCTTCCCTGGGGACAGGGAAAAGGGAGGGTTCCAGGAGCTCTGTGGGAAGGAGGTGCTGTCTCTCAGGCCAGCAGTGAGGGACAAGCTGTGCTCAGGCCAGCCCAGCACCCTGCAGACAGCCTGGCCCACGCTGAGCCCCCCGCCCGTGGCTGCTGTCCCCCTGCCAGTGTCCCTGGGTCTCCGTGGCCCGGCGTGGCCGTGGGGCTGGAGGCAGGAGGGGAGCACAGCGTGGTCTCTGTCCTTGTCCCGGCAGTGTCCCGGTTTGTGAAGTACACGGGATATGGGAATGCTGCAGGGCTGCTGGCGGCGCGGGGCCTCATGGCCGGCGGCCGGGAAGAGGGGGAGTACTCGGAGGATGAAGACACGGACACGGAGGAGTACAAAGAGGCAAAGCCCAAGTAAAGGAGTCTGCTCCCTCTCTAGAGCACCCCTCTTTCCACATCTTCTTCCCATTCCTGCTCTATCCCTCTCCATCTGCCTCCTGCCATCTCCCTGTCCTGCTCTTCCATGTGCCCATGGCTCCTCTCCCTCTCCAGAGCCCAGTGCTGTTGCACTCAGCTGATTTTTGGCTTCTCTTTTTCCCTTCGCTCTCTTTTGCCCTTTCCCTCTCTTTTACTCTGCAGTGGGTGGTACCTAGAGGGTGGGAGGTGTGTGGGGACAGCCCCAGGTCTGTGCCCACCTATGTATCCCACACTCACCAGCTTCCTGTTCAGTGTCCCTGCAGGTTGGGTTTCTTGGGATTTTCTCCATTAGCTTTTGCCTCCAGCCTTGAGGAGAGGGAGAAAGTGTCACCTGGCCTTGTGCACCCGGTTTCCAGTGGCACTGTGGCATTGGCAGGAGGGCGTGTTGCTCCTCCTGGAGCAATGGGAAGGGTTTTTAAGGATGTAGGTTGGAAGCCCCCATAGAACTGTGATGGCACTTGGGCACTAAGGGCACGAGCAGAGGTGACAGCCAGCCCTGCCATGCCATTCCTCTGCTCCACGAGGCACAGGAGGATCCCAAACAGCCCTGTGTCCCCCTGCTGTCCCCTCTCCCATGCCCTGACCTCGCTGTCGTCCGTGCAGCATCAACCCCGTGACGGGCCGTGTGGAGGAGAAGCTTCCCAACCCCATGGAAGGGATGACGGAGGAGCAGAAGGAGCACGAAGCCATGAAGTTGGTCAATATGTTCGACAAGTTGTCCAGGTACCGGGGTGTGGGTTGTGTGTCCGTGTCCACACCTGCACGTCAGGGGTACATCTATCACAGGCCTTCCTTTGGCTGCATTCCCAAGGCTTGAAGGGACTTAAGAGAGGGAGTGGTGGGGGTACCTGGAGAAACTCTTCCCTCAGCTTTGGCACAATGGGACACTGCGAAATTCCTTGCTGTGCCTGCGCTGTTCCCAAACACCTGCTTGCCATGTTTGTCCAAAAACTCAGGAAGGACAGCGGTCTCGGTCCTGGCCAGGCTGCTCAGGAGGAAGCAGCATTTTGGGGACAGACAGCAGCCAGTGCCACCAGCCCCTTTCTCTGCTGGAAAGCTTTCTCCAGTCATCCCTCATCCATCTTTCACAGGTGCTCCAGAGGAGCCCAGTGAGCTCAGGAAGGGAGGGAAGTAACACGTGTACTCCCATCATGTGTTAGAGGGAGAGGAACACAGACACCAGTGCTAGTTTTCCTGTGGGAATCCTGAACCACACAGAACAGGACTCTAGAAATGAGCCTGTTCCAGGGAACCTGAGCATGGGAATGGTATTGTTTGTGGATTGTGCTTCCAGCCATTGCCTTGCCACGCTGGAGGTTTTAGGGCTGGGACTGTCCCCATTTCTCAGAAGGGATCCTTAGTGGTGCCTGGGGTATTCCGGGCCATTTCCACAAGCCCCGTGTTCCTACCGTATTCCTGGTCTGTTCCCCTGCTCTCCGACAGCTCTGCCTTACCTTTCCCGGCTGCAGGGAGAAGGTGATCCAGCCCATGGGCATCACTCCGAGCGGGAACCTGGCGCCCATGGAAAACGCCATCCGCAACATGGCCGACGAGCGCTCGTCATCCGACTCGGACCTGGGGCTGGACTGACCCGGCTCCCGCCCCAGCCACGGAGAGCTGGGCTCCAGCCACTCTCCCTCGGGAACTGGTGCTGCACCCAGAGGCTGGCACTGGGCCAGGACTCTCCCTGCGGGATCCGTATCCAGCCTGGATCCCTCACAGCCCACCACACGGAACACCTGCCTCCTTCCCAGCTCCATAGCCACCTCTCCTTCCAGAGGTCTCCGTGGCCTGGCTCCACCTTGATCTCTCCTGTCGGCAGCCTTCAGGATTTCACGCTCCAAATCGCTTCCGGGACTTTCCAGTAGGATTTTTTCATTCAAATGCGTGCTGTTTGGGAAGAAGGGTCAGGGAGAGGCTCTTCCTGCCGCTCCATCAGGGTCCGTCGATCCGCGGAGCCTCCTGCGTGTGCCCAGCCCCACAGTGGGGAGCTGCTCCCTGGGAATGCTGTGGGAAGGGGGGGTCTGCTGGAGAGGGGTGTGGGCCATGAATCACAGCAGCTCCTGGGGAGTGGGATCTGCAGGTGGTGCAGGAGGCTGTGTCCGAGTGCACCGGTGTCCATGTGCACCTGGAGCGCGTGGGTGGACAGAGGGAAACTGAGTGAGGCCTTTGGGGAAGCTTCCAGCATCCCACTGGCCACGGGAGAGAGCGTGTGGGTGGCTGCTGGGAACACTCTGATGGCCCTTCCCTGGCACTGGGCACTGTCCCTGTCACCAGCCAGCTGGGTTTGGGCGTTCACCTCTCCCCAAATCCTGCTTTCCAAAGGAAAGGCCAACACCTGTGCTCCATCCTTCGCTCCTCCTCACTGTCCCCGGGCCTCTCCGTCCCCCGGGGGCTGCTCTCAGGCCTGGTGTAGATTTGTCTTTGTTTTTACTTCTGCTTTCTTTTGAAAGAAAACCTTCCCGTCCGTCTCATGTACCCGAGTTCCCAAATGTCCTGTCACGAGTAGGAATGCACAAGTGACGCTTGAATAAAGCCAACCTGACACGTGGGCACGTGGCCATGATTCCTCGACCGCGAGGAAATCCCTGGGAACCCACGGCAGAGGTGTTCCCAGGGGTTCCTGCCTGCGTGTCCTTAGGAGCTGGGGGTGTTTCTGAACGTGGTCTTGGAGGGGAAGAGCCGGAGAGGTGCTTTGCTCTGTTTTCCCTCTGTGCTGGGTGCTCCTGAGGCGCCTCCAGTGCTGTGTCCAGCTCTGGGCCCCTCATGGCGAGGGGCTAGAGTGTGTCCAGAGAAGGAAACAGAGCTGGGAAGGGTCTGGAGCAGCAGGAGCAGCTGAGGGAGCTGGGGGGGAATCAACCTGGAGAAAAGGAGGTTCAGGGGGGACCTTCTGGCTCTGCAACCCCCTGACAGGAGGGGGGAGCCAGGGGAAGTCGGGCTCTGCTCCCAGGGAACAAGGGACAGGATGAGAGGAAACAGCCTCAAGCTGCACATGGGGAGGTTCAAGTTGGACATCAGGAAGAACTTCTTCATGGAAAGGGTGGTCAGGCATTGGAAGGGGCTGCCCAGGGAGGTGGTGGAGTCCCCACCCCTGGAGGTGTCCAAAGAACGACTGACGTGGCACTGAGTGCTCTGCTCTAGTGATGACGTGGAGATCAGTCACAGGGTGGACTCGATGATCTTGGAGGTCTTTTCCACCGTGGATGATTCTGGGGTTCTGTCTAGCTCCTCAGTGATTAAGAATTGTTTAGTAATGGTTGAAGTGCCAGTAACTGATGTAAAACTGACCCCCAAGGGTCACAGCCAGGCTGCTGGGCTGGCACAGCCCCGCTCTGTCACAGTGGGAGGTTTTGGGCCAACAGCATCTTTATCTTTTTTTTTTTTTTTTTTAACTAGCAAAAAACCCACCACAGCCCTTGTGGGTGCAGACACAGACCCTGAGCCCTTCCCAGCTGTTGAAGCTCTCCCAAGCTTTCCGTGCAAAAGGAAAAGGGGGGATTGGTGTTTTTAATGCAATTACCTCTGATATTGTTGTTTCAATTTTCCAGAGTGCTTTAAATCCCTCAGAGCAGCTGCCAGGCCTGGCCTGGAATGCCCCAGAGCAGGGGCTGAGCTTGGCACAGGGCACTTTGCATGAGGCATTCATAGAATCATGGAATTGTTTTTTTTGGGAAGCAGGGTATGGTCAAAAACAAGTCCCCCAGCGTTTTCAGTGTGGATCCATGTGCCAGGAGGCTCTGCATTGTGTTGTGGCAGGTTTGGGACAGAGCAGGACATGGCTGCAGGGCTGTGGTAATGCCACCCCCCAGGGTGGCATCTACAGCAGGGAAAGGCACTTTTGTGAGGGGGAAAAAGGAAAAAAAAATGTACCAAAAAGCAGGTCAAGGGAGAAGTGGTGGGGACAGAACGTGCTCAAACCCCAGGGAAGGTGTGACTTTACAGAAAACCCCTCAGGTGACATCCAGAAATGAATTATATCTCTTTATTATTAAATAATTAACACTCTAGTGATTTAGAAATCCTGCAGCAGCTTGAGCTGGAATAGGAATGGGGGGCAGCCCCCCCACCCCCAGACTGTACCCTGATTAGCAGAGATTTCACGGAAGAACAAACACAGTCTGCAGCAGCACAGGATCGTGGCCAAGGGAACAGTGGCTGGGGAGGAGAGACCTTGGATGCTCAGTCCAGTGGGAGCTGGAAAACTTGCTCCAGACTCCTGGCATTCCAGCTCCTGCTCCCTAGAACCAGCCCCAGCAAGGGGCTCCGGGATGGGCAGCTGGGAAGGAGGCAGATCCAAAGGGCCAACTGCAGACACGGAGCTTGCTGGATGTGCTGGCACGAGTGCCCTGCCACTTGCTGGTGACATTTATGGCTGGACATCATCAAGTGATGTGCTGAGGGGTGGCAGGAGCACCGTCCTACTTGTCCTTTGCATCCAGCTGAAAACAGGGAGACCACAGCGTTTGCCAGGGAGCATCAAACATTCCAGCTCCAAGCACCATCCCCACAGCTTTCACAGAATCCCAGGATGGTTTGGGTTGGAAGGGACCTTAAAGCTCATCTCGTTCCACCCCCTGCCATGGGCAGGGACACCTTCCACTAGACCAGGTTGCTCCAAGCCCTGTCCAACCTGGCCTTAGTTTTCCTGGTTTATCAGCATTATCCATCAGGGATTCAGAGGAGCACAAGAATCAAGCCAAGGGCTGGCTGGACCCCAGAACGTTTGTACCAAAAAATCAGAAACCTGGCCAAAAGACTTAAGAATTCCTACTCAATTCCTGCCTCATGATCTGATGAAAATAAGAACAACCTGGATCTAAAAACTGGAATCTTGGAGCCAGATTTTATGAAGAAATCACGTATGGGCAGTGTATCCCTAAAAAATACAACTGTTTGATGTCAAATATGGAAAAATCTTCCCAGTGGTCTACAGCAATGCAGTAATTAACAGCAGCACTGAACTCTAATAATTAAGGACTTGTTCCCCTGCAACTTCTCACTCCTGAAGATCCCAGAGGTTTACAGATGTGAGAATGGCACAGGGAAAGAAACGATCAAAGCCGAAATCCTGCCCTTTTCCACATTCCTGTTTCATCTGGGACTGGCAGATCTGCATCTTCCCATCTACCACAGACACTTTCAGCCCACAGCGCTCCGCTCTGGCACCTTGGCTGTGAAACAGCACTCGGGTTTGGGTTGGTTTGGGGTTTTTTAGCCCTGCTGCAGCCCTTCCCTGCGGAGGCAGACAGCGAGCAACCTCAGCAAGCACAAACCCGCTCCCGGGATAACTCCGGCACAGGGAACGCAAAGGCTGAGGGGGGGCTCGGAGCCCCTTCCCACCTTCTCTTTCTCCTTCTGGATCAGCGTTTGCATCTCGTCGTTCCAGCCCAGCAGCTCCACCAGCTTCTCGACGCCCCCGACCACGTCCCCGAGCTGGGCCACGTCGTTGTGGCGCTGCTGCCACGCGAAGGGGCCCACGAGCTCCCGGTTGATGAGGACCCGGGGCACGGAGCTCCGCACGGCTCCGGCCAGGCTGGCAAAGGGCTCCACCTGAGGGGGGAACCGGGAGGGCAGGGGGGACCGTCACCCTGCCACAGCCACCAGTTTCCAGGCTCAGAGCTGCTGAGTGTGACGGTTCCCCTGCTGCGGGCTCAGCCACCCCGGCTCTGGATGGGTCACGGTGTCACCCGGTGGCCTTTCCTGAGGTGGGCCCAAGGCTCTCCAGGTGCCCTCCTGGTTTCTAGAGGGTCTCTCGGAGCACCTGCACCCTATTTCTTACCCTCCACCTCAAATTTCACCTCCCTAAACCCAGTTTCTCGCCTTTTCCCCTAAGCCCTCTCTCCCCTCCGGAGCCCCTGTTTTCTGTGCGCCTTTTTCCCCCCGGGGCTCCCCTTATTCCCAGACCTCCAGGGATGTCCCAATGACAAAGAGCAGGTCTGCCAGGGGGAAGTCTGCCAGGTGCAGGAGGAAGCGCTGCGGGAGCTCCTCGCCGAAGAACACGATGTCAGGCTTGACAACTCCGGTGCACACGGGGCAGCGAGGGACCCTGTCCCCCATGACATCCCCCTGAAAGGAGAGACCCCAAA